TGGCAAATCCTAGGAAAATAACTTTTTTTTTGAGGGAGAAATATCTTCAAAATAGGGTGATTTAAGGAATTATGGAATTTGGCGCCATAGCCTTTGTTTGTGCACCAATCTTTCACCAGCTGGGTAAATGACTATTTGGTAGTAAGTTAATCGGATTTGGAGAAATATTCCTTCGACGATAATGATATACCTTTAATCTTTGCTGCCGGTAATCGTCATCATTCAGATGCGCCGACTCTCTTCTGATATCTTTGCGGTACTTCTCATACAGCGCCTCGTCTGCGCCCAGATAAGCCATGTCGAAGTCGAGCAAGAAATGAATATCTTCATCGCCGTAAGCACCAACTGTCAAGTGCGCATCCGTGCAGTTTTTACCGCTTTCAAGAATCAGCGTTGCCACGTAGTTCTCCTAAAATTTCGCTCCAATTCACATTTTAAGTTTCACAACGTCGCGAATTTCGTTCAGTCTCAAAATCCAGGCATTTGGAAAAGACTCAGCAACAAGGAATTTTGAAATTTAATTCTAAGCTGTTTGAGCTAATCCGAAAAAAATTATAAATGTTATTCAAGGAAGAGTTAAATGTAATTGCGAGAATTTGGTTTTGGTAGAGATAAAGACGTTTCGATCCAGAAATTTGCATATATGCCATTAATTCAGCATCAAAACTGCACCCCGTCTCTGTAGAAATGGTTAAGGCGTAAATTGCTAAGTTATGAATAAAGATATATAAAATAGGAAACAGGGAAGTGATATATAAGACTTATAGTAATTATACTGAGAAGTAAAGTGAAAGAGAATGTAACGAACCAAGACTATCGATTAGTTAGATCCTTAATCTCGGTACGGCGACTTTTTATGAATTTTGCTTTTATGCAAATGCAAAAACACATATTAGCAAGAAGCTGTATGTGTGTCTGCGTGTTATTACCAACTTTCAACTCGAGGACCAGAAAAGCTAGAAGGCTGAAAATCCGGGAGAAAGTGTTCACCCACGTGCGGTCCTCCCGTTTTAATATTATCACCCGCATACGCTTGGATTGAAATACTATAATGCGTTTAAATTCCAATAGCTGCGAGAAGGATAATGATTTTCTGTGCTTGAGCAGCTCCTGTTTTTAGTGCGCTCGACTATTGACATTTTGAGTTATAATGATGTCATACTTTCCAGGGATCTTTGAGCATTTTCGATGTCATGGAACGAGTGGGTGTAGTAAATTAAACCCAGCAATTTTCGCATCCATTTAACATTTACTTGGTGCTTCTTTGGCTAAAATTTTTGCGTTTCATTTCATGCCCAGACACTTGCTGCACATTTTTTTCCCTCAAGCTAATGCGTATTTGAAAAATTTTAAAAATTTCAGTTTCCGACCGTGCCACTGAAATTAGTAAATCATCAGACACGTACTATACGGTTTACATAAAACTGTGGAACTTCAGATTTAACATTTCACATTTTATACAGTCGCCAAACAAACACATACATACTAGCATACACACATGTCATGTGCTTGGTACATAAGAAGCGAAACACAAAAGATCTCTACCTTCAATTCGTAATAACTAAAAAAATTACCACATCAAAAGTTGTTTGCGATGAGAATTCACGCAACAGATCCGCGCTTCTTTCTGCGTTATCGTTGCGTTTCGGATCAAATTCTGCACTGTAATGCATTTGCTTAAAATAGCTTGCTCACTGCTTCAAGATAAACTTTCTCTGCTACCAAATAGTGGCGCGTTTTTGGTAAATAGCACGGGAGAAATGGAAATCTGCTGAATCTTTTAAATTTCTAAAAAAAAAAAGCAGCAGCAAAAAGAGCTCTTCGTTAACTGCTTGCAAAAAAAACATGCTTTTGAGCTGTTAAAATCTCGAAATATTTAGATGTGAGATATTGAACGAGCTAGCTGTAGCACCTATGATAATGTACGGTAAATGATACTATAAGAAGAATATAGCGTAAGCAGTGGCGTAGCGCTCATGCAACTGATCTTTGTACTCGTCGAACAGTAGCAGCATACGATTGAGATGCTCCAGGTTATGAAATGCTCGCTGGCTATAGCTACTCCACAATCGTTGCCACCATTTTTCCTTAAATACTGCAAAATTGTCCAACAATGAGACTCAGTGCAGTGACACTTAGAAAAATCCAATTTTCAGTGTTTTTTTAAACAAATTGAGCTTCAAAACAAATTAAGCTAACAAAGAAAAGCCTCAAATTAAGCTTTTAACAAATTAAGCAAAATGGGATATGTGAAAAAGCTTCAAAATCGAGCTTTTTCAGGCCTCATATTAACAAACTAAGCTCCGAAATCGTGGATGTTTTAACATGGACTGAGATACGTGTGGTAGAAAAAAAGAAGGATGTCAAAATTTCAGGCGCAACGAGTTAAAGTATGACAAAAGATCGCAAAAGACGGCAAGATGAAAAGACTGCACCGAAATTAAATTCCCGTGGTGTTTTCGATGAAGCGAATTCAAACTGATACATCAGAATTGGTGCAGTAGAATGGCACAGCTGGTATATTCAACTCTGATGGTGGGACAATCAAGCCCTGTACGATTCGTTTCGCTGGTAAATTGGT